TCCCCACCCCACCCTGGAAAAAAGATTATCTCATAGTGTGAACTTAAAAAAATGTGGCACTTGGTAGCGAATTGGCGTACGTATTGCAAAATGTGAAATTTTTTCATTGTGATTTAATTATTACGACTTACAGCAAATGTATTAATACGAGTGTTCAAGACTTTGGAACATTTTACTGGTAAACATATAAAATGAAAAAAGGTGAAGACTTCCTTTTAGACCAGTCACACTGTGAGCCCTATGTATTGATTAGGTATAGTTGGAACACCCCTTAATCAAATTTAGTGCTAAATCAAAGGCTTAAATACTTATTACACCTGCAAAAAATTAACTGTGCGGTAGATAAAGGAAAATTATCAGACTTTCATGCTGTTGTAAATATCTATATTAATTCTTACAATTGTACACATGATTCTAAATTAAGATCCTCACTCCAAACATACGAAGTAAATATCAAAATTGTATTCACGTGTGAACCCCCCCCCCCCCCGAAATACACATCGTTTTTTCTAAAACAATACTATCTAACCACGGTCAAAATGTTAGAATAATAACTTCTATTCTATATGAGATATAATTTTATATCACAATACTTACTTTCACACACTTACAGTTCATATAATATAAAACAAACTTGCATGAAAGTACATGTATTGTATATTTATAATAGATACAGAAGGATTGATTCTAAGAACGCTTTACAGTTCTGTAAAAAATTAATTAAATGTGAAATTTAACCTGGAATATAATGGGAATATATTTATTTTAATTATTAGAGGGGAAGCCATGACAAACAGAGAGCGAGTTTTGTAAAAAAGATAGGAAAACGTCAGATTTTTCGGACTACGTGCAACTCAGTGACGACATCTCTTTCCTTTTCTCTCTCTCTTTCTCTCTCTTTGAGTTTGAAAATGCATTTTCCCCTAGTATTTCTTTTAGTCGCAGTGGAAATGAATCTGACGCTAATCGATCTTACACGAAGTTCAAGCTTTGTTCCCCTCTGTGTACATAATAACTATGGTAACAGAAAGGGGAATAATTCAAACGAAAGTTTCACGATACATTTCCATGTAATTTGTGTAGGTAACAAATATATGTATTCCCTCATCAACAAGAAAAATTAGACCTGCTAGTATTCCCTGTGATTTCAATTTAATTAAGTTTATGCTCATGTTATATATTTTTTTATTTGTTACATCATAAAAAATGACTAAACTGCGACACAGTGTATATAACCTGTCGCCTTCATAAAAAACATTTCTCTTTTGAAAGTAACAAATATTAGGACTCGAAAAAAGCAAACTTTAAATGTTGAATAAAGGAAAGATTAAGTTGCAAATATGATTGTATTATAAATATTCTTGTATTTTTTTTTCATTTGAAATGATATGTCAGATGGTAACGATAATTTTTTTTTTTTATGAATTGTTCTTAATTACATGTAGAAATGACACAAATTCGACAGGGATTTTTAAAGCAATGGGTGCGCGCAACCGGGGCGCTGAGCAAACGTCAATTACTACATGTGCATAATATCTCTCCCAAAGCTATGGAAAAATATTTTATTATGTTTATGGCTCATATCATGTCGAACATTAACTCTTCTTTATAAATAAGTCATTTAAAAAGTTAATCTGTTCCAAGTATCAAAAGAATCTATTTTCTTACATTGCGTTTTTGAAAAATTTCATTGTACATGTAAAACGTCAAATGACGCCATAGTGCATTTTTTGTGTTTTATCCGTAAAAGATCCAATTTTCCACAACAAACATCTCTGTAACGAATGCATGTACCTCAAAAAGTTTGTAATAAAGAATTTAGGGAAAATTCCAAACATTCGGGTTATGGCATTTTTAAAATTTTTAATTTGTGCTAAAATTTAGATAAAGGTAACAGAAAATAGCACAAAACCAGTCATTTTATGTGTAATTTTATCAACTACCTAGTAGGACATGAAATATTGACTTCAAGTTTACGATAATTTCTAAGCATCATATAGAAAAATTTTGTGTAGCAAAAATTTTCAGATTCTTCTCTAGTTTGCGAAAATATCAATTGTTTTGTTATATCCCAATTATTTACGAAACGTCAGCAGTTAAATGTCCGTGATGCTGAAAAGGCGTCAAAAGGCGTCTCTGGGCGTTAAAGGGTTAAGCAGATTTAATTTGCAAAGGGGAAATGGAGAACAAATTTTCGGAAAGAAATTGACAATTATTCTAACAATCCTGCATAAAATATTTTTGACGAATCACTTAAATATGTAGATTCAAGATAGATCATTTAAAAAATAGTTATTTTCTTTATTTTGGAGAGGACTTATATAGGCCATGCCTGATGTCCAATCCAGTTATGTAATCTGACATTATAAAATATTGATTAAATCATAAATTATTAATATTATTATTATCAATAAATATTAAAATATTTGTGAAATGAAATACATGGAGACAACGAACAGTATTCAAGATCAAATTCCATAAAACAATGCAAAACAGGAGCAGAGCAAACACAGACCTCCAAATCATCAGAGGTGGATTAATGTGCCAGGGATGTGTGAACATCCCCCGCCGACCGATAGGAAAACAAATTCGAAAAGCGTAGATATACTTGATAACAATTTATATAAAATAAACCCTTTATTTGCTCGTACGCTTAAAAAGAAATTCAATTTCGTAATAACAGATACTAGTACTTTCTGGTAGAATATTCAGATTTCAAAGAGTAAAATAATTCTTGAAGATTTTAAAAGTGGATGTATTGTGCGTTCACTACAAATTAACTGCAGAACTGAAACTCTGAACTACAAATTTATAATGTGATAATTAATATGACGTAAAGTCAATATAAACTTGAGTTCTAATGATGGGGACAGTGTCATAAATTTCACAACTTAATTCAACCTGCATATCCATGTAAAGAGTCAGAAAGCTAGTGTAAAATAAACGTGTTTTGATCCTTTTTAAAAAAAATCTAATATATCATTTTTTTCAATGTAATTGTAAGTCCACTTTCTAATCACTGAATTGACAACCGAATTTTCTGTGACAAGGAGCACACGGCTGGAGTGACTGGTCGGCAGGGGATGCTCATTCCTACACGGCACCTGATCCCACCTCTGATGATTTCGAGGTCTGTGTTTGCTCTGATCCTGTTTTTTATTTATTTTTTATGTATTTTTATGATACTAAATACTGTTGTTCTTTATCTCATTTGTTTCATGTCCTTTCAGATTTGGTAACAACCTGCAAGAAAGGATGGGTCTCTTATAAAGAAAGTTGTTATTATTTTTCAACGTCCACAGCTACATTTAAAGATGCGCTGGTATGGTTACGCTTTTACTTTAATTTTATTTTGAAAAATTTTGAAATTATTTCAATTTCTTAATTTTATATTTATCAAATACACTAAAATGTATATTTTATTTATAAACCATAACTACTCTTTGACATTTACGTAAAAATATATGTATGCTTATTTTGTCTCTTTTCGTTTAAAATGTTTATTGCGTTTGCTGTTTTTTGCAGTGAAGTGTGTTATATGCTTGTTCTGAAATATCTAGAAAATTCTTTCTTATGAAATCTTTGGACTATTTATGAAAAATATGGATAATATATTCTGAAAATCCAGGAAAAATTTGAGCCAAATTAAACATAAAAATGACAATTGTTTTAGTAATATCTAAAAATTTACAGCATATATCCATACTTTGGATGTTCTTTTCTGAATATTTGAGATAACTTTGACATATCTGCTTAAACTATGCAAAAATGTAAGACTTTAAAATAATTGTTTTGCTTATCAAATTTTCAAGGCCAGTAAAAATAACATTTGAAAGTTCAAATTATTGATTATGCGAAACAATTTGAAACTTTTTCTCAGTCACAATTTTAAAGTGTCTTTTTTCATATAGACTTATGGGCTATTTTGTTGCTTTATTTACATGTAAATAAAAACTGTAGGAAAAACGTTGAAAATGTAATTTTTGATTAAGACACAAATTTCAGTGCAAAAGGTCATATTTAATGTACTGTAGCGCCAAAAGAAGAATATTGACCCCCATATTTTGATTTGATTTTTTAATTAAGCTATCTGTGTAGTAAAATATACTTGTCAAAAATGTTTAAGACTTTAAATATCAGGAGCCAACCTCGTTAAAGGTTAGCAAAAGAAAGAATTATGAAGAGAAAAAATAGATTGATTGATTTATGTTGTTTAACGTTCCACTCGAGAATTATTCACTCATATGGAGACATCACCGTATGCCGTTGAAGAACTTCAAATTTAAACCTATACTCGGCACTGAGGGCTATTGAGCACTGCGGGCTCTTTATCGTACCATCTCCTACCGCGACACGGGAACTACGTATTTAAGGTCATATCCGAAAGACCCATGACTTTCACATCTAATGCCGAGCACTTAGCGAAAGAACAGTCACTATCTATGTTTACGTCTTAGGTTTGACTCGACGCCGCGAACGAGAATCGATTCGATTACGATGCGAACGCTCTACCACTAGGCTACCGTGACCGGTCAGGAAAATAAGAGAATAAATATCATCAGCATTGAATTTTTATTTTCATATTTCGTCAGACCAATTAGGCCCGTAAGAAACAATTTCGGTTTTTGGGCACCACAGATTTTAAGATGGTTGAAAGCACCATAAACTACCAAGAATTCCTTTCCAAGCCAAAATAAGATCATCAAATGTTTTTATTGAGGGGAACAACCATGCTGTAGATATTTTCATACAGTATTCTTTACATGTATGTCGGAAAATTATCGGTGCACGGTCCGTTCGTACGACTTTCTACACACTTGGTAGTACCGACATGCTATCAATTTTATTATATTATCGGTATTCAATTTGTCGACACGGCAAGGTGTGTTATAGAAACGACGACATTCTAAAATACGTATTTATTCTTTATAAAATTTCACATACTTATATCTCTCAAACCCTCTGAGCACAAAACATTTTTTTACGTTTTGTAGTCGTCATGTTATCAGATGGGCGCAAAAGTTTTGGAACTTCAAAACAAAAAGGAGGAGAAATGGTTTGATAACCAGATACGATTACTAGGTATACTTTTACCAATTGAAAATATTTTAGACACGGTCAAAGAGAAGTGTTACTAGTATGCTTATCGTCATTGCATGATAAAATCTATATAATAATTGAAATATTTATCTTTTTATTGCTTTTTACAATGAAAAATAAAATACATTTTCAATTTTATTCCGTTGAAATTCATTTTAATAATCTATCAATTAAAAAAAATCGATACACTCCTCTGTCAAAGAAAATCTGAAAGGTTATGTTGTGCACGTTGAATAAGGTTTAAATGTCTCTCAAAGGTCATTCGCCCCAGGTATGGCTTGGTGCAAGTGATACTCAACAGGAAGGAAAGTTTATATCTGTTTCAAAGGCAGAGGGACTTCCTTATAGCCACTGGTTAAAGGGACAACCTGATAACTACGTTGGAGGAGAGAATTGTGCTACCTACTGGGTTACCTATAGAGGGACGAATGATGCACAATGTGACGACAAATATACTTATGTATGCAAAACATGAAAATAAAATGACTCAATCATTTTATGTGAATCATACATGTTTTTATGTTTTCAATTTCAACTCGGATGACACTCTTATATAAAAGTAAACATTGTCCTTAGGGCACTTTGAATACTGTGGTTAACTACATTCTTAATTGTTTTTTTTTTGTCCAAAATTACACTTTAATATGATAATGATCGCAAAATTAATATGCACCATGTATTAAGATATCCGAAGATTTTTAAAGCTTTAACCCTCTTTATGAAAATATATACATGGAGAAAAAATACGTACCGTAAAATATATATTCTTGAGGGGTCAAATTTTCGTTGTGTGAGGAAAATAAACTGGTTCGAGGAGGAGATTTGATTTCGTGGTTGTAGCATTTTCAGTAGTTATAAATGAGAAAATAAAATGCATTTCGTGGTGGACATAAATTTGTTGGTCTCTTCATACATTGAAAACAAGGAAAATTAAATTCTGACGAAAACAAGTGATTTCACGGTATTTCGTTTTCTATAGATTGCTTGAATTTTCAATATTCGTTTGGTTTAATACTCCAAGACCTTGAATATGCCTAAGAACATTTATTTTTATTTTTCCATCCCTCTGCAAAGAAAATGTCTTGCTTGCCGTCAGATGTTTCAGATTATGCCAAAATTTGATTGAATTACTCTACTTGAATATTAATACTGGCCAGATTTCCGCAGAATGTATACCATCTTTCTCCATTTCGATATAATATTTGCAGAAACTGAAGTATCAGGAGGGTCAGAAGGTTGTCTTCAGTCTTTTATAGGAGGCGGTATTTCTGAAAAAAAAGTTTTTTCATGGTTCATAGTAAATAGGGTGAATTCACCATGCATCTGATACCCTTGTACTTCAACAAGTTCTAGCGATATCTCTACCAACGGAAAATTATCAAAATGGAGTTTTACATTTAGTTTGTGTTTAAAATATCAATTTGGGACACAATTATATGCACTTTGTTGAGAAAATATCCTCAAAAATCGAGTTTTTAGTCATAACTCAATATTCAGCATGGATCGGACATTATTTACCATGCATCGGACAGACGGTATTTTGACCAGAAAAATATCATACCTTTATCAAAGTGATTTAAAGTACTTGATATGGATATATTTTTATCTTTTATCTAAGAAATAACTTTCAACTTAAATTTAATTGACGATATCGTAGCACAAATGTAGAATAATTCAAGAGACCTCAGTCTGTCTTCAAAATGCTTTAAAATGCTTATAATGCGGTAATTCGAGCCCTTTTTCGTGGTTTATCATACTCTGGTTTGTAGAAATAAATTGAGTCAAATTCCAGACGTTATTTAAGGAATCACTGTCTAGTTTTGAGAGTATGCCAGGGCATCAACAATAGTGGGAAACATGGGATAATTTGCATAACGGGCGAAGCCCGTTATGCTAAAATTATCCCATGTTTCCCACTATTGTTGATGTCCCTGGCATACTCTCAAAACTAGACAGTGATTCCTTATATTTCCATTTCATTGTGAAATAAAATTGTAGACTTAGACATTAAGAATGTAGACTAATCGATTTAAATTACACGAGGACTTCCATGCCAATTTCAATAGTCCTCGCACACTGACGTCAAACACAAAGGCAGCCGCACGAGATTTACATGCATATTTAACCTCCTTAGCGTCAGACACAGAGACAGATGCGCACGAGATTTGCATGCGTATTAGGCCTCTTTAGCTGCTGACCTATCGACCTGCCTAATTTACATTCCGGCAGAATTATCAGGAAATCAACTCCGCTTACTTTCAAAGGATTATCATAGAGAAAAAATTTAGAAATGGAAATATATATCGATAACTTGTATTTTGATTGAAATTCTAGAGTTTTTATTTTCTTTTTCCGCAAAAAACAGCTATCAGCTGGGTTCTGTATGAAAATGGTAGTGCTTACCTTTGCATCGGAAAGTGTCCGATGCATGGTTAATTTGTGTCCGATGTACGGAGAAATGAACATACTAGTGAAAACTAGCTCTGAAAAGAATTATACAAATTTTGAAGTGAAATTTCTTTAAAATTTATGCAAAATAACCAATATTTGACTTTATTCACCAGAGTGTGACTCGTTCCGTTGAAATCGAATTTTAAGAACGATAACTCTAAAAATCGCAAAATCATAGATTTCTGGTTATTCCTCTTTGATGATGTAAAATATGACGTAATTTCAAGGCCATTCTCGGGGTATTTTTATCACAACATGATAAAAACAATCGGTATCATTAAAAAATTTAAATCTTCAGCTTCTAGACAGAAACATATAAATACACGGAACTCTTAAGTTGAAAGAGAATTTATTGTCTAAAGTTGTCAGAAGCAAGATATGTGTCCGATGCATGATGAATTCACCCTACATTTTTTGATCTAGAATTTAATAGTTACCTTACCTTTTTTCTTCCCCTTCATAAAGGATCTATTTCAAATCTCCATAGATGACAATATACATGTTTTAGGTCGATACCCCTCAACCACACAGGGAGGCTTCTATCTGTCAAAAACTTGTAAAAATATATCACGGGAAAATTTTGTATTTTTCTCATAAATTACCAGAAACAAACTTAACATTTTGGATGTTTCCGTCGTCATTCCAGTGTTTTTGCTGCTCTTGATCGGATTATATATATGTTGTAGAGTTTACGCAGTCCGACGTTAACATTGATATGTGCAGAGTATGCTTTTTAGCTCACCTGAGCCGAAGGCTCAAGTGAGCTTTTCTGATCAAAATTTGTCCGTTGTCTGTCGTTGTCGTCGTTGTCGTAAACTTTTCACATTTTCATCTTCTTCTCAAGAACCACTGGGCCAATTTTAACCAAACTTGACACAAAGTATCCTTGGGTGAAGGGAAATCAAGTTTGTTCAAATGAAGGGCCACGCCCTTTTCCAAGGGGAGATAATTATGAATTAGAGAAAAATTAATGGCATTTTTAAAAAATCTTCTTCTCAAGAACCACTGGGCCAGGAAAGGTGAAACTTATATGGAATCATCATCAGGTAGTGTACATTCAAGTTTGTTCAAATGATGACCCCCGGGGCAAGGGTGGGCCAAAATGGCCGACCCAAGTTTTACATAGGAATATATAGGAAAATATATCAAAAAATCTTCTGCTCCAGAACCACTGGGCCAGGAAAGATGAAATTCACGTGGAATCATCCTCAGGTAGTGTAGAATCAAGTTTGTTCAAATCATGACCATCGGGGCAAGGGTGGGGCCAAAATGGCCGACCCAAGTTTTACATAGGAATATATAGGAAAATCTTTAAAAATCTTCTTCTCCAGAACCGCAGGGCCAGGAAAAATGAAACTCATGTGAAATCATCCTCAGGTAGTGTAGATTCAAATTTGTTCAAATGATGACCCCCGGGGCTAGGGTGGGGCCAAAATGGCCGACCCAAGTTTAACATAGGAATATATATAGGAAAAATCTTTAAAAATCTTCTTCACAAGAACCACTGGGCCAGGAAAGACGAAAATCATGTGGGAATCATCCTCAGGTAGTGTAGATTCAAGTTTGTTCAAATGATGACCCCCGGGGCTAGGGTGGAGCCAAAATGGCCCACCCAAGTTTTACATAGGGATATATCGGGAAACCTTTTAAAATCTTCTTTCAAGCACTTCAAAGCTATGATTAGTGTTATTTATATGGAATCATCCTCAGATAGTGTAGATTCTAGTTTGTTCAAATGATGAACGCCTGGGGGGGGGGGTTAAATTCAAGCCCGATGTGCTCAGGTCAGCGCTGTGGCCCCTGGGCCTCTTGTTTGTTTAGGTGGCGATGTTACACCCCATAGCACATTTTGTCAAATGTAATAATATTGTTTTTCAAACCCCTTTAATGTACTAGTCCAAATAGTTTTTTTTATAAAACTCAAATATGTCAATGTGGCTTTTAATTTTATATTTTTTTTGCAGAGTATGTTCTATGCAGCACTACTTAATATTAGAACTGTTGCATGCTTTTTCATAAGGCATATTAAGTATGTTTTTGCAAAGGCTTTAATGTGTATTTTTATTTGCGTATTGTCGTTTATGTTCAATAAATGTTCTATCTTATCTTTATTAAGGAGGTGTTCTCTTTCTACCTATGAGTGGTAGATAGATTTGCATAAAGTATATTTAGTCTAATCTGATAATATTTTTGTAAATTCAGTTTTCAAACTCAGCACAACTCTCCGAGGTCTTTCTTTTAAATTCCACATTCTCATGTACTTGAAAAAGATAAACTGTAACCAACCGTACTCTTTTAAAATGATAAATATTTACATACCGGTAATTTTACTTGAATTAAAGACAAAAAAGGTACATTAATACATAAAAGATGTGTAGCTACAGAATCCTGTGATGATAAATTCTCGTGTCAAGGAAAAACATTAATTTGTTTAGAACTCGAGAGTCCTTTTTGAAAAAAAAATTCAAATCATAGTAAGTCGCGATCGTTGATTAAATGTGTTGATTTTTCAAGTAATAAAATTAACTTTTCTACGCATAATTAATATCAAATGCAAATTGAATCTTAGGTTGTACATGTAATGACAAAAAGATAAAAATGGAGAAATTTTAATTGAACACTTTTCATGATTCAAAATCGATATTTACCATTAACATACTTTATTTGCTACTCTTTGTCACTATAGTCCTTGGGTATTTTGAATACATACTTATGCACAAATGAAAACTACACGATGATTTCTTGTTTGAAATAGTTTATATTATAGAAGGGAATATTTTGCAGCAATTTAAATGGACAGAACATTGCGGGCATTATTCATAAGAATGGCATATTATTTCACAAAGATACATAAATTGATACATGTAACCTTAATGACTAGAAAGCTTTTGCCCCCTCTAGCTTTCCATTTGATCAAAATATAGATGTAATACTACAATATGCATATTTGAGAAAGGTAGAACTACTTGTGGACTTCTGTGTGGTGATACGTATGAAAGAAAATAGCCACCTTTTGGTTTTAAAATATTGAAAATATTTTTTTAAAAACTAAACCAGTTTTCTTTGTACAATGTATCATTCTTAAGAAAAATAGTTTAAATAATTTAAGTGAAAAATAATATTTTTTTTTGCATTATATTATGCATAAATATATGTTACGTTTGAGGATTGATAAACAGGTCAACAAATGTTTAAAGTCTTACTTTAATCAATAGTTTGTGAAAACCCGCATTTCAAGCTAGAATTGATTTTAAACAATGCAGAATTTACAAGGATTAAAACAGTTGCTGTATAATCTATTTACGTTTCAAGGCTCAGTATTTCAGTGCATTGTAACCGACTGACAATCTATTTCATCGGTTTAAAAAATGTGAAAAATACTTTATTTTATAATTTATTTTTGAGATAAAATGATGTTTCATTTAGATTCGTTTCAAAGAAACTGGATAAATGTATTCATAGTTAAACAGGTATGATTTCGAACTGAATGAAATCTTTGTTGCCTGTATGTGTTTTGATCTCACTGATTATCAAATTACATTGACACTATTTTTTAAGAAAAATACGACCTTTTTCATTGTATTAATAAAGATTAAACAAAAAGCATTCCAATTTCATGAACACTTTAATGAATAAAGATATCAAACAATAATATTGAAAAGAAATCTGCATGTGAAAAAATTCAGTTATAGCACGCAAACTAAACAACAGATGGTGACTACAATATGAAACCATAACTGATATGATTCGATGGTCAAATTTCGGTAGGTATTGATTTTATTTTTGGCTTATAAAACATGTACATTATCACGAAGATGAGAGATATATTCTTTCCAAAAATGCATTTCACAACTGGGTATTTACATTTCTTGGTGATTTTCAGCTGTATTGCTGGTCAAATTCGAATGGGTATGTATATGTTAGGAATGCATAATGAGGGGTTTGAGGAAGAAATGCCCATTACAGGACAAAATATTACGCCATTACCTTTAATTAAGCATTTTGGCAATGTAAGTTATAGTTTTTTAGCAGTGCAGTAAAATCTATCAATTAAAAGTAAGATTTTTTTTACTAGCTTTTAAATTGTTAAAGACAGAAATCTGATAATTCTACATGTAGAATTATAGAAGGCATGCGTTCTTCTTCAAATATTACCATTTGAATATCCAAAAGTTAAAAAAGGTTTAATTTCAAGATCTGTTTCTTTTACTTATTTTCAACAGAAAAAAAAAAATGATCATAACTATAATTTGAAAGGACAAGACTGATCTTTTTAGTGTTTTGTCACATTTTTAACAAACATGCCATGATTTTTTGCCCATGAATTTGACTTAGAAGAATGAGAAAATGCTCAAATAAACAAGCTATTATATTACAATGATCAGTGACATAAGTATTTACAATGTTTTGCACTAAATGATAAATAGAAATAAAATTATTTTTTTTAGATTCCGTTAAAACCTGCTATAATGGATGGGTACCTTACAAAAGAAGTTGTTATTTTTATTCAACATCCAGAGTTACATTTAAAGATGCAATGGTAAAAAAGATATCAGGTTCTGGTATGATTGTGAGGAAAAAATATTAAATTACATTCGTGACATTTTCTATGAGAACATCATTGAATAATCATATCCTCTGACTACTAATCATCTTTTTTTTCTGGAAAATATTAATATTTGCAGGGGAAAATCATCTTTCATTTCATGCAATTCACCTTCTACTGCTAATTAGAAAGAAGGGAAAAGAGATAACCTCTTTTAATTTACTAAATTAAGACATAATTATTAATCCATACAAATTAAACCCTTGATATTTACTGAAAAAAATAGTTGTTTTATTCTGGTGTAAATTATTGATAACAATAGAATGATATTTCTTACATTACATAGTCAGCATGTTATCGGATCGGGGCAGAATTGTTGGAACTTCAAAATGCAAAGGAAGAGAAATGGTTTGATCTCCAGGTCCGAATACGAGGTATTTATATGTTATAAATGTCAGATAATTAATCCGTTGTTAAAAAGTTTTATTTACCTGAATTAATTATTTTTTATGAAAAATATGCATTACGGAAGTGTTTTGTTTTATAATCTGAGCATTGTTTTTTCTTTGAAATATTGGGGAAAAAAATTCATCATATTAATTCCTATTAATAATGTTGAAATAAAGAATACGTTTGATTAGAAACAAACTTTTAGTTGATTAAGTGACGATTAAATGTCATTATAAGGTTATCAAGACCAGGTCTGGCTTGGTGCGAGTGACATCCAACACGAAGGAGAGTTTGTTTCTGTTTCAAATGGCGAGAGACTACATTACAGCCACTGGTTGAGGGGACAGCCAAATAATTCTGGAGGACGAGAACATTGTGCCACATACTGGATTCCACGCAGAGGGATGAACGATTCACCATGCAATGTCAAATATAATTATGTCTGTAAAAAATAAAGAAACATTGAATTTCAACAAAATACATCATTGATTACATGTACTCCTGAAAGATGAACTGTCATGTAATAACAGATATTGCTTCATGGGAATAATTTAACACTAGATTACTCCAAAAAAATATACATGTAGCATAAAATCTTGTTCAAAATTGTCTTATATGACACTTTTTTACAATATTTTAACCTGCAAACTTCTTTTTTTTTAATCTTCTTTCTTTTTTGGTATATTTTCTTTGTATTTGCCTTTCATTACAATGTCCTAGATAAAATTAGTTAGTTACTAATAGGAATAAAATTTAATACAAGATAAATATTTCCAAACCATAACATTCTAAAGAAAAACATGCTATTCTCACAATTCTTTACAGGAGGAACACCTGTTTGATTATCACATTGGTCAAGAAAATAGGTGGCGTTCAAACAGCAAGTGAAATCACTTGGATAAGACTACATGTATCCCAAAGTGTAATAAATCGTTTATAAAACCTTGTCAAGGAAGGCTAAAGTTAGAACGTCAATGATGTACAACAATTGACGGCTTTAATATGAGTAAATATTTCTTAAATCTTTTTGAATATTTTATTTATATAAATTTAAGCATATATATTAGTAAAATACAAAGTTTAAGTTGAACAGCACTTCAAAATAGCTGAAAAAAATCAGAACTTTAAATGTCGTTTTTTGTATGTAAACATATGTTCCCAAATGAAAGACAAAAAGCCTTGGTATGAATTTAGAAACGACAGTCCATATTAGCCGTAATACAGAATTTTTGTTTCATGGGGAGGGGAGATGTTTTCAAAATAGTTTCCTTTTCCCGTTGATTTCTATAGTAAAAAAGGAGGATATGAAGATAACGAACGGTATTTAATTTCAAAGTCTATAAAACAATACAAAATAGGAATAGAGCAAACACGGACCTCCGAAACATTAGAGGTGGGATCAGGTGCTATGGAGAAGTGTGCATCCCCTGCTGACCGGTCACACCCGCCATGTGCTCCATGTCATGATCGGGAAATAACGGAACAATCCGTCGTTAATTCCAAACATGAGTTTTATAAAACCTTTATAGATATCTCTGGTTGTTTTCCCAAATAAGTAATGTTTTATAATAAAGTCATATAAATATCACTAAAATTCAAAAAATCATTCGAATATCTTAACTTTTGAAAATGTCTTGGACGAAGGCTGGAAAACAATACAATCGCTCGCTGTTCTTTGCATCTAGACCTGGATCGATGTTGAATGCTGTCCTGATTTAAATCTTTGCTCTTTGCGAACGGAGTATGCTTTACGGTACCGATATTTTAATTATGTTTCATATATCTCTATTTAAAATATATTTTATATTCAAGCAACAAGGGTTCGTTCAAGCACTAACGTAATGTGGAAAGGAATACATAAGTTCAAATGGAAAGAAATCACCTCATTCAAATGGTGTAAGCAGCTTTTGAACATTGATTCTTACGCTGTTAGTTAAGTAAATAAAAATGTTGCATAAAATCCTTCTGTGATATTATTTTACATGAATATCAATTTTATTTTAATTGCCTCTTGGTTTCAACATGTTTTCTTTGTACCTGACTGAAGTAGTCGTAAATATCCGTTAAATAAATAAATAATAAATTGGGTCTCGAAATATCGTTACATCTGTTAGTGCTTATCAACAGCTGCAGGAAAAGTGATTTATAAAACATTAACGATTAAAAGAAGGAATTAAAATAAACACCCCCCCTCCCTCAAATTACAAAAGAAAGTTCTCCAAATTTTTTGTTGACATAGGATAAAGCGCATAAATACGGTACTTTCTGCTGAATTAGAGGTTAATACGTATCTTTACTTAAAATATACAACATCATTAAAATATCAATAAGTCATCTTTAACGCCTTTATAGATGATAAAAGGTGACCTATCGGTGGCTTTAAGTTGGGTTAGATATGCCTATAGGTGGCTTTGACAGTCACCAAAAAACCATTGCCATAGTACTTGTCCAAACCTCTTAAAGGTGCATCTCAACAAACTTGAAGCCATTATTCAGTCACCATTACACATCGGATCATTTTCCGTTTACAGACAAATGAATATAGATATGAAAAAATGCCGTTTTTACACATTGACACCTTAATTTGGCGATTAGTATAAAAAAAAACATAATAAAACGCACCAGCATTGTTAAATTTATTTAGTTTCAACCATCTTTGGTTTAAAGACAAAAAGCCATGAAGACAATGCCTCTCCGGCTGATGCATATATGACAGTAAAATTAACTTGCGCTGTTCATTTAAATTGTGTGCGACTTAGAATTATAACTTGCTCATTTTTGTATGAATATTATATTTGTTATTGTTTAAATTATTATTATTTCCGTAAATATCGGTTCGCACGAACCCGAATATTGCGAGTACACGGATAAAGGGAAGTTATCGTAGATCCCCAGCAATATAAATTTAGCAAATTTCTGAAATGGAAATAACAAATTACGAATATAACGAAGTAATTTCATAGGTCCGAGTGACTTTGTTATTTCCAAGTTCACTGTATTATTACTATCATTATCATTATATAGACCATAATGCTTAAATCTTTTTAGAAAATAGTGTTGGTTTCTGACACAAAAAACTATCAAAAGATTTTTTGATATTTGAATCTGTTTAGTAATTCAAAATTACATTTTTAAGAATGGTTCATATCTCGGAAGAAATTTTGGTGCTGAAAGTAGGTGCACCACCGTCTAGTGTTGAGGAGTTTTTAATGTTTCACACAGCACCATATCAAACATATGTAACGGATACAAATTACATGACATAACAATATGGTGGATAATTTGTAACATCAGCAGCACAAAATATGTTCAGTGATGTAGTCTATCCTCATCAACGTTACACAATGGCGTCAAATATTGCTATATATACCTGGACTGCATATGACTACAGAATGTTGGCCGAATTACAGGAGGATTTACACGTATTAATTTAATCGTATGACACAATGACTAAAATATCAACCGAGAGGTCTCAAACCAACATAGTATTGTCAGAGCAACTCCGCTGGAAATAAACATGAAGAACACTTGTTGCAGCTTTGAATATTTTTGATATAATTTTGATATATCGATAGAGTTACATTTGTTCTGCATTGAGTAATAATTATTGATATTAAAGATTCCAACTATCTCTAGCGGTAGGTTATATATGAGCTGAAATATCGAATTAAAATGAATAACATTTTTCTCTTTATTTCTTAGGAAAATATTTAAATGTGAAAAGATTTTACATTCAAGCAAAACGTTTTATTTTATGTGCTTTGGTTTATGTTACATGTATGAAAATTCAAAGGAATGAAATGAATTTATTTCTTTGGTGACAGCATCTTCTAAACTGTGACTCAAACGCTGAGTATTTAACTAATGAAATTCTAGCTTAATCTTCTTCAGTAAAATTATCTTAAGTGATTGTCAAATTGAAATTGATTACCTTATTGTTTCAATGTGTTACCGTTGTACCTGACAAAAGAATTAATATTTGCTATATAAATGATAAAATGGATCTTCAAAAACAACAGCTGCTGGAAATGTTGTTTATAGAGCATTTAAGCTACTGCAAGCATTTAAAAGATTAAAAATTTTTATGATATTGATATTCATCCAAGTATCTATGAAAATGGCGGCTTAATATTGGTTTTTACATGTATGTGCTTGAAAGTGCTTTCTAGACTGTCTCTAGGTAACATTTAAGCCACCTTAAGACAGATAAGGGTTAAACATCAAAACTCCTATGAATTACAATAAAATCATCCTTAAGCAACGATTAAGTCATTATTGAACAGTCGACAGTTTTCTTTTATAGGGTTTTGTTTTCATATTTTGATCTGGCCTACAAATTAACAATAATAAATGTCGGATTTTCACATTTTTTATAGCTAATTTGGCAAATTAACAATTACAAATGTCGGATTTCCAAATTTTTAATAGCTAATTTGGAAATAATATTTAAAAAAAATAGTAATAACAGGCGTCCGCTTGGTTGATTAAATCCAAATCCTTCTTTTTTATGCTTTTACCACAAACACCACTCCTAAACAGTACTCCAGCCTTTGAATACATGTATATGAAAGAATTATAAAACTAACATTCCGGCTTAATTGATTTGACTTGCACATGCATTTTTTTTTGACAGATACATTAATGCTAAAATCTCTCTTTTTTAAGTACATATTTCTTTCCTGTTAAAACCTTACTGACAAACCAAGGCAACATAGCAGTTATGATTGTTTCCAAACTTCATAACAGAAGACTGTTAAGTTTAACAAAAGCCTTGTCATTTCTCTAAATGCCGAAAAATGAAATCCATACAAACAATTACAAAATATTTTGGCTGGGAAACGTACCAGAATCATGGAAAGCTTGACTTTAATTGCAAATATTTGTCAGTTCTTGCCCCTTACTGTACTATAGGTGGCGCATGACACGCTAAGGTTCATATTTACTTCCGGTTTTGATTCGATTTCGCTTAGTCACTAAACTGTTTTGAAAGTTCGTCAAAATAAACATCCAATGCCTACTTGCTGTTGCGTGCCTGGTTGTTCCACGAGAGGAGGATTAAGTTTCCCAAGGGAGGAGAAGATAAAAAAGCTGTGGATTCGAGCCATTCGAAGAAACGATGAGGATATTACGTATAAACACTGGACTCCACAGCCATTCAGTGTTGTGTGCCACAAACACTTCCGTGAGGAAGATTTCACCTGCGAAACACAGCACGGTAAGTAAGATTGTCACTATGTTACTTCATTTGTAGTTGCTTTTAAATATTTTAATAATAATTTGTCTGTAAATCATAACAGCTGTGCAATCATGGTAATAACGCGACGGACACACAAGAGTCTGAAGAGAATTTTGAAATCAAATACAGCGAAAGTGAAAGACTTCATTGATTTTCTTCCCTTAAATGACAAGCCATACTGAGATATTGGGCAGAAAGATAATTAAATGCTTTTATCAT